CGATGGGGGCGCCGATATGTGCCGCTCGCGCAGCTTTCTGCGCTGCGTCAGGATTCCAAGCGCCGCCATTAGGCAGGGCGCCCGCCCTCGGACGATGTCCTCGTGGGGGTGGACAGGTTGCAGATATACGCGTACTTGAACGGGGCGAAGGCAGCCGGGCTGTGCCGGCGCATGCACAGAGTGGGGGCAAGGATGACCTACGTGCGAAGTGGCTGGGGGGTGCCTCCAGGCAGGTGGGGTTGCGGCGCTTCGGAAACAGGCCTTCGAATTACTGAGGAACGGGGGGCCTGCGACGAGCGCCCAGTCGACGTGCGTATATTTAACTATATGTATGTATGTATGTATGTATGTATGTATGTATGTATGTATGTATGTATGTATATGTGTATATAGATATGAACATCAGCGTCCTCTGGTCAATGGGCAATGGAAGGTGCGTGTAGACCCGAGCACGCCGCAACCAGCCACTTGGACTCTTCGACCAACAAGAAAAGCAACGAGGCCGATGCCAAGTGCGCGGGGGCGTCCTTTCGAGTTTCATCCCCAGTGGGCTGATAAGCGCGCGCGTAAGACGAATCTCCATGCGCAGCTGGCGTTCGATGAGGCCGTTGCACTGGAGCGGTAAGTCTGGCGTATGTGGGTTGGCTTGGCGCAACAGTCTGCGGCGAGCTCAGCGATGTCAGCAGTGGGCATGGCGACGAGCAGATAGTTGCCATGTCTGCTAGAAAACAGCGAAATGCCTCGAGGGATAAGAAGCCAGGCCCCGTCCGTCTCGGGTCCGTGCTGTTCATCGTCGACGCGGGTTGCGGTTCGATTCTGATTTCCGCCAAGTACTTTCAAGAGGCAGGGGTGGTTGACAGGATCTCTCCGCTGGCCGTCCCCATTGCCTGGGCGCGGCGGGTGGTCAGTCCAGAACCCTCTGCGCGATCGGGATTGCCAGCGACGTGCTGAATAAAGGGGAGATAGAGACAATTGTCGCGCCGGAGATTCCGAGCGTGACCTCGGTGGGCGAGCTCTGCTTGGACCGCGGTTGTAGTTTTCATTAGGTAACCGGTGGGGTGCCGTACCTACTGCTGCCGCGGGCAAGAAGGTTGAAATTCTGAGTCGAGGGCGAGATCCCCTGCCTCACCGTGGATGGCAGAGGGGCCTGGGGTCGGGTAGACGAGGCAGCTCCCGCCGGCTCGTCTGGGCTTGGGCGGTGGGCGTGTGTGGAGGTCGGCGCGAGGTCTAGCCTGGGTGTCCCTGGCGTGCTGGGTGGTCAGGCGCGCGCGACCCTCGAGTTGCGCTCGCGAAAGGTGATGGCAGAAGATTCCCACTCGAACGGCACGCTGAATAACCAGTCGGACGGCGCCATGGGACTTTTGATGGCCGCGGACGGGGCAGTTGCGCCAAAACCTGATATGCTCACCTACTTCTTCTATGGGCCCCGTGAAGCGGCAAGACTAGGATGGGCGAAGGCGGGCGCGAGTTTTGTTAGCGGTGCTGCCTCGATGGCGCCAGTGCCAGGGCGCAGCTAGGCTGGGGGTGTGCGGTGTCGAGACTGAAGCGTGGACAGGGCTGCGCCTTGTCGCTCGACGGCGGTGTCTTCACCGGGCGAAGAAGTGGTCGCCGATGCGGCGCCCAGGGGACTGGGGGCCGCGGAGGTGGTCGACGACCGCGGCGACGACCCAATGGGAGATTCAGGGCCCGAGGGGGCGACGAAATATCCGTAAGGGCTTCGCCCCCTGCCGCCGGCCCCCTCTCTCGGAGAATGGGCCATGGAAGTGCTAAGTCATGGGGCTTTGGCGCTGTCGTGCAGCAGTGTCGGAACTTCATGCGAGGCCGATTCGCAATCGGCAAAACCAACTGATCACAGGAGGGGTTACCACACAGGGCGATTGGTAAGACGTGCATGGTTTACGAGCTTGGTTACCACACCTTGGGATTACAGGGCCGAGGGGGTACTCGCAGTTTGGGTTGCCACGCCTTGCGATGGATGTGCGTGAGGGGTGGCACCGAATTTCAGAAATGTTGCAAATCCTTTGTGTTTTTGGACCCTGACCCCGCGGATCTGCGTGAGGGGTGGCACCGAATTTCAGACATGTTGCAAATCCCATGTGTTTTTGGACCCTGACCCCGCGGATCTGCGTGAGGGGTGTCGATTTCGAGCCCCCCCAGCAATTCAGACAACGCGCCCAGGAGGTGCTAAAAATCCCGTTTGGGCCTCCCCCCCCTCGCGCGGTCAATCAACTAGTTGCAGTAACCAGCAAGAAGTCAACTAGTTACAGTAACCGGCAAGAAGCAGAACTGTAACGCTGGAAACTACAAACTACAACTGGTACAGGAAACTGCGAATCACGCGCCTCGCAGCCTGGTGGCCCCACAAGGGGGCCGGCGGATTCGCGCCTCCAGCGAGAGGCCGTCTCACGTCAGCACCTGCTTGCTCGCGTGCCGCAGAGCCCGTTCTGCTGAACGCGCCAGCGGGCGAAGACGTTGTGAACGCAACGAAGGCATGATCATAAGCAGATGCGACCATGCTCCGCTCCGAAGAAATTTGGTGGCGTGTGCACCATGGGCCACTGGTTCGCGGCTGATGAGCCATCGAGGGGACTCTACGGGGAAACGTCGTGCGCCACGCTACGCGACCGGTGCGCGGGATTTTTGGTGAGTCAGAGCACTCGTGACAAATCGGCCGAGCACGTGGGTGATTTCTTTTGTGACCCTGAGGGCGCCTGCCGAGAAGTTGGAATGCATCTATGCGGACGCGACCCCTGGATAGAAGAGAGTATGCAAGTCATTGTGCGTGCGCCCTCTGAGAGAGCCTATGACTGCTCGTGATTCCACGCATCCCGCGAACAAGAAACATAGCTCAGTAGCAGAGAGGGCCGGCGCAATCGTGCATGACCGGGCGCGAACCTTTCTCGTGGCGGCGGGATTGCTGGCTCCATGCTGGGTGTGCGTGGTGCCCCTTTTTCTGCTTGTGTTGCAATGCGCAGTAACGGGGCGCGGGCGGCTCTGCGTGGAAAAGTATATATGGTACATCCTTTGACGGGTTCTTGGTACAGTTCGGCTTCGCCGCGAGGTGCCTTCCGCCCCCTGAATCTCGCGTTGAGCAGCCCGAGACGGGCTCCCAGACTAGAGTTGTAATTTTCCTTGGCTGTCTCCATCATGCGGGGGGGCGGGTAGGTCCCGGCCACTGCTGCATGTCCATGAGGCAGCTCGAGGGACTTGACTTCAAGACAGGAATGAAGAAGGACTGGCGAAGGGCTGTTGTAGGAAGATCGGGGCATATTTGGACCGACATTGGCGTCGAGGCGGTAGTCGAGACGGGTCAAGGCGGAGTGGCAGACAAGGGGTTTCCGGGAGCTGTTGTTCATTTCTTGTTGCGAAAGGCCCATGCTATTGCGTCTATGACGATGCCGTCGGTTAATGTGGGGGATCTACTGTCTGGAGAGAACGTTCCTGAATACCACCAAAAACAAGGCCCGAGACGGCGGCCCGTCGCCCGGGGGGGGGCCCGCGTCGTCGAGCGGACTAGCTGGAAGCCAGGCGGCGGTTGAGATGCCGCCGCCTCCTGCCCATGGCGAGGGGGCGGGATGGGGCGGCCGTCGAAGTGGTGGGGCAGGGCGCGTCGGGCGATGCAGGGCCCCCCGGGCCCCCTCCTGCTCCGCCGCTGCCTGCGGGGGCCACGCGGAGAGTTGTGCGCTATGCAGTGCTATTTGGGGCTGGTTGGCTGAAAGAGGGGTTATTATTGCAGGGCAGTCGCGTCATTTGGCCGCCCCAGATAGGGGGGGGCCGAAGTTCGAGCAGATCATGGCATGAACCGCCCAGAATCTACAAACGGGCGAATATTTCGAGCGCGGGGTTTTCACAGTCGGCAAGACGCGCGACGAGCATGGGCAGCCTCTGCCGTTGACGGGCAGGAGCAGAACGATTCAGATGCGCGTGGTCTCCTGTTGCGACCCGCGACGCCGGTCCCCCGACGCTGGAGACGGAGGGCCCTGTGCTCGAAAGCTTGGCTGAAGAGGGCGCAGAAAGACTCGGCAAATCCGGGTGTTCATCCAGATCGGCGGTGGAAGATGGGAGGCCCAGCTAGGGCAAAATCGATTGCCGTGTTCAGAGCAGAAGGGGGTGGGGTTCTACAGATTCGAGGACCCAGGCCCGGATGCTGACCTGGTTCGAGATATCGGTACGGGTATCACTATTCCGCGACCCCTGGTCAAGTGCGCCATGTCGGCCGTGGGCGAGGAGCTCCCATCCCTCCTTGCGTCAGATGGCTATGCCAGTTACTTTGCGGAAGAAGACGAGGAAGAGGCTGTTCGTGATAAGGTGAATGGCGTCAGCGCTGTCTCGACGCCAACTCTGGAATCGAGACTGCAAGGAATGCCGCGGGCTCGACCTGCGCGGCGGCTGCCGGTATGCGCAGCGTTCCTCGCATGCCTCTGAGGTTGTGAGATGCGAGCAGTTATCAGCACTGGGAGAAAGGGTCGTCTGTGCGACCGTGCTGTAACCCAGTCGCGGACAACTGTGATCGATGTGATGAGTTAAATCCTTGCGCTGTCCCGTCCAAGTGGGTCGCGGATATGTCCGGCGCTGCCATTGTTGCCAGACTCTTTACCAAGTCTGAGGCAGCGAACAGTGAGGGGGCTGCCGCTGCTTCGCAGAAGGAATGGGAGAGGCTACGTGAAATTAGCATGTGGGACGAGAGCAAGGTGATGGAACTGGGCCGAGTGCGAAGTATGATGGGAGGTCTTACCTTTCACATCGGCAGTCTTCTTGCCATCCTTGTCGAAAAGATCGCCGAGCTACCAGAGGGACATAAAGACAGGGAAATCAAGGGGCGTGCTTTTTGACGGACGTGACGTCATCGATCGAGACCAGAACGTAGCATTATTCCAAGAATTTTCATTTTGCCCTGCCACGACGCGGGAGAGACAGCCGCCGATGATTCATTGGCTTGCGCCGCGCCGCCGACCCCTTGGGGCGGCAGCAATCGTCCCCCGCGTGGCCTGTCCGGACAGGGTTTCCAGTTTTTGAGGTGAAGCGTCACGTGCGCAAGGCGATGGAGAAGCGCGTGCTGCATGGGCTTCGTGGAAGTTTGGCGTTTCTGACTTTGCCCGCTACGTGCGTCGCGGCCGGTCTTGGCGGGTCGGCTGGCCCCTTTGGCAAGAGTGGCGAGCTGTTCGACAACGGCGACGACGGCAAGCGCGACCGAGGCGCATTTCCGATTGGGGAGCGCCCGAGAGCGGATCGACCTTCTGGAGATGTGGGGTGGCCATTCAGGAGTTTCTCGGGATGCGGAATGCCGAGGGCATTGCGTCGGGGAGCTCTGGGGCATCGTCTACGGCGACGACATCAAGGAGCACGGCGCTGAGAAGGAGCCCGTCGACTACATCGAGCGCGCGGAGCCTGCGTGCATCATCCTGGAGCTTCCCTGCATCATCTGGGGTCGACTCCAGAGCTTAGCCTACGTGGGGGGTCGGGGGGCGTTCGGGAAGGCGCGCCTCGAGAGTTGCCGACGCTCGAGCTCGTGGAGAACATCTTCGAGATGCAGTGCGCGGCCGGCAGGATCGCGGTCATCGAGCATCCGTGGATGGGCCAGTCTTAGAATGAACTACCTTGGCGACGCCTGCGAGCTCCTGAGGGGGTCGTGGAGTTCAGGGCGGACGTGTGCGCCCGCGGCCTGGGGTGCCCGCTCGCGAATCGGTCAGTGCGCAAGCCTGCGGGGATCTTGGCGTCGCGCGCGGCCTTCGGGAAGCGCCGCTGCTTCGCTTGCGCGGGGGATCGCGGCCGCGCCGCGCTGAGGGGTATGGCGAGCGGGATTTCCTGGGGCCAGGTTTTACACCGACGGTGTCGCCGCGTGGATCGTCGGCGCCCTCGAGGAGATAGTCAGCCAGGGCCGCCGGGCGCGGCCAGCCGAGGCAGACGACGGCTGCGACGCGCCCGAAAAGTGGCCCATGGGCGCCCGTGCCATCGCATCCGGAGAGAAGGCTGGGGCTCTGCCGATCGGGGCTCGGAGCAGGCTGATGCGTCTTCGCCAGGACCTTGGACATCCTTCGAGCGATGTCCTGGCGGGGAGTCTTTGTCTCGCGGGGGCCAGCGACGCCCTCGCAGGGCGCCGGGTGCGCGAAGTGCGCCGGCTGCATGCGCGCAAAGCCAGCCTTGGGATCTCATCGGGTATCTTGCCTGGCGCCCGTTGGGCGCTTCAACGACGAGCTGGGCGTGGGCGGCCTCTACCTGCGGACCGTGAAGGGGGAGTCCTGCCAGTTCCTGTCCATCGTCGAGGTATCGACCGCCTGCCGCGTGGCGCGCTACCTCGAGGTCTGCTGGCCTGCTACTGTGGCCGAGGTCTACAGGGGGCCGTGGGCAGCTGCGCCGCCCAGTGTTGCCAGGCTCGATCCCGACGGCATGTTCTACACTGGGTTCCAGGAGGCCATGGGCTCGATGGGCATCCGAGTCAAGGCCAAAAATCCCAGCGGCAGAACGGCCGCGCTGAGCTGCGCGGAGGCTGGCTCGAGCTGATGATCCACCGCGTCGTCGAGCATCAGACGGTCTCGGACCGCCGCGTGCTGGAGATCGCCGTTCGGGGGGCCTGCCGGGCGGAGAACGACGCGCGGGTAGTGCGCGGGTTTGATCGACATGCCTGGTCAGATCGCAGAGCAGAGCGTGCTTCGCGTTTCCACCGAGCTCGCGCGACGCATGGCTATCCGATCTGCTGCAGGGAGGGCCTCCGTGGAGATGCAGTGGCCAGGGGCTTTTGGGGGCGCTGCTGCGCGAGCCCCGAGTCGCCAGGGTCGTGTGCGAGAGCGGGGGCTTGGTGTTCTACTGGTGGCGACGCAAGGGGCGAAGCTTCGCGAATGGTGGGGGCCTGCAGGTGTTGCTGGGCCCGCTGGGGCGTCCCACTTCTGGTGATCTCATGGCGCCGCCGCTATTCGCGTTTAGATCTGGTGGCTCGGGCAAGGCGACGACCCAGACGTCGAGGAATTCAGCGAACAAGCTGGTGAGAGAGTCCGGGAAGGACCTCCGGCCCAAGTTCGACGATCAACGAGGTCTGGGGCCGCGAGATGGAGAAGAGCGGGCTCGGCCGCTGGAGCGGCGCCCCGAGCAGGACTTTGGAGTCGCCTTGCGGGGGCTTATGCAGGCGGGTGCGTTGAAGGAGAAGCGCGCGGCTCGCCGAGTTGAACGGGAAGAGAAACCCGATCGTGTGAAGCGCGAGCTGGGGGCGCCGAGGGGGCCTCCGCCCGCGAGGGTCGAGCTTTCGACGTCGCCGAGGGCCGCGCCGCCGAGTTCGGCGAGTTCAGCCTCCGCCCAGCCTGCGCTGCCCAAGCGAGGCTGAGTTCATGGAGAGGTGGGCGGCTCGTCAAACTAAAGCGCCACGTGCACCGAGCGGCGCCCTATCCCGTGCCGCTCCGTGCTCGAGGTCATCCGGGGCATTCCGTGCATCTCGTGAACTACAGC